AAAAAATGAAAAGGCCCCACAACATTAAAGATTCACCGCTATATTTATTCATGTATGTGGTACAGTATACTTTTTTTATCCCGTTTCCTGAATTTTTTTTATTTACTTTTTTTTTTAAGTTGCATCTGACCATAGAACTATAGGTCCCTTTTGAAGTTGCATGTATGTCAATTGCATATGGTGTTTGGTTTTGGATGAATCAAGACGATTTTACTTTAAACCCGTAAATTAACATATGGTGATGTAGCGGATGTTAGAATTTTTTGGGGTTTTCAGAACCCAAGAGTCAACTAATCCCTGCAATTCTCCAGTGGTGATCCTTGGAGAGTCTTTGACCAGTGTCTTTCCTCCTCGCCATGCAGTTGAACGATACACACACTCATCCTTATCCAGGCAGATTTGTAGCACCTTTAGTTGATATGAACTTCTTAATTATTGCCCTGATGGTGGAATGGAACTTTTTTCCAATGCTTTGGCTATTTTCTTACTGCCATTTTCTATTTTGTGATGCACAACAATCTTTTGTTGCACATCAGAACTATTTTTTTTTTTACTTGTTGGATGATTCATGAATTAATATTTAAGGAAAATAATTAAACCCCACAAAGAAATAAAACACATTGCTTCATCAAATGTTTTTAAAGAGCCCCTATCATGGATTTTTGAAAATGACTGTTCATGTAGTGTGGAATATAGCTCTAAGGGAATGAAAACATCCTGCAAAGATTTTTATCTGAAAGTGCACCGTATATAAAGTTATTGTCTTTCAAAAGTGAGAGTCGTCTCTGAGTCTATGAAATGAATTGTTGTTGAAACGAGTCATTAGCTGTTACATCGTGACGTAAAGAGGTCATTGGCCGCTCCTAACAACTGCGCCCGCAGACTTGAAGTGACGTCTAGAACACATTCAAATACTTCAGCTGAATCGCATCATGTCGAGAAGACGCTGTGTTCTACATTGCAAAGACAGTTCAGCCACTTGTTTCCATTGTCCAGGGACGAGCATGTGAAGAATCAGTGGTCAGAGTTCATATTTGCAACAGTATAGCCCAAACCTCTTGTTCTCATCATTTTAATGACGAATCATTCGCAAGCCGGTTGTTCCTGAAGGAGGACTCAGTATCCAGTGTATATGGATCAGGTTCGTCCTCCTCCGAATCACAATCTGTAAGTAATATTAATGTTTGCTGTTATGTTTTCTGTAGCATGCATATATAGTTATATTGTGTTGTGTGTTGTGTACACTCCGCGCAGCTTTTTGATATTCACCAGACATTCATTGAAAAATGGTACCTCCTAAACGACTTAGCCAAATCTGACTTCGCTCTATATAATAAGCAGTGTTGTAGTCGAGACCACCTCACTCGAGTCCGAGTCGAGACCGAGACCAGAGAGAGTCGAGTCCGAGACCAGAGACGTTCGAGTCCGAGTCGAGACCGAGACCAGTGAGGGTTGATTACCTAATTTACTTTTATTTACTTAGAGAAATCCTTTATTTTTACTGAATTTACTTAGAGTTTAAAAAATAGGATCAGTTTAGGGTAAAAAGGCCACATAGTAGGTGGTGTTAAAAGTAATTTTATTACAATTTGTCATGCGCAGTTGTGCACTAGAAAATCACCAATCACTGGGCGTGTCAATCAATTTAAAGAAATATTTTATTAACATACATTAATAATCATCGATTATTAATGTATATACGACTCGAGTGGACTCGGGAATAAGTCAGAGTCCTAAAAAAAAAAAATGTTCGAGTACGAGTCAATTCCGAGTCCAAATGCACACGAGTCCATGACAAGACCAAGACCATTAAAATATGGTCTCGAGACCGAGTCCGAGACGAGTCCGAGTCTCGAGTACTACAACACTGATAAGCACTGCCCCTCAAAAACCGCCGCAATGTGAGTGTCGCCTGGAAAGCTTGCTCTTGACGGAGACGTGAGTAAGGGACCGTGTGGAAAGTGCACTTTTTCTGACACGTTTGTTCAAACAATATATACAATTTTCAACACTTGACAAGCTATAATCCTGGTTATGGGCGTTACGTTGCCGACAGTCTCTGCCTACGGTTTACCAATAACAACTGACTGGGTTTTTTGACCAATCGCCGCAGATTCGCGTCACTCAAAGGAGGTGTTTGGGAAAATGAATCGTCGAACGAATCATTTGGGAGTCGTTGAGCAAATCAGTTAAAAATAAATGCCTATTATAAGACAAATAAAGTGTTTTTTATCCTTGCATGCATGTTTAACTGTTTTGGGAACTCCTAAAACAAAAATAGGAACATTTCAAATGCTATAGGGCTCTTTAAGGTGAACACTAGTTTTCTAAGCTATATTGACCTCCCAGGTTACCATTGACAATCAAAATTCACCACTAACTTTAGCAAATTATCCAACTTTTCAATAATCTGTATAGCAAATTATTTACTTGTTTGTACATATTTGTAAAATATGGATCTGAACATGACATTTACTCAGACAACTTCTGGCAATGTACTTTCATATGAGTCTGTAAAGTAGATAAGTGGGTGAAACTCTTTTTACAGTGTGAGCACTTGAACCGTTTCTCCCCATTATGACTTGTCTGGAGTTTTTTTAATGCGCCTGATGTAATGTAGGCCTTCCCACAGTCAGAGCACACATAAGGTCTCACACCAGTATGAATACTCTCATGTTCTTTCAAATGTTGCAGTCGGGTTAAACGATTCCCACAAAAAGAACAAACATGAGGCTTCACAGCAGCATGAATTTTAAGGTGTCTTCTAAAGCTTGATTCCACAACATAAGTTTTATCACACTGATCACAGCTGAACAACTTCCCTCCAGAGTGAAAGTGCAGATGATCTTTGAGAGTGCTTTTGGATGTGAAACGGTTTCCACACTGAGTGCATTTATAAGGCTTCTCTCCTGTGTGAACTCTCATGTGTCTTATTAGGTTTGATTTTTGTCCGCTACTCTTTCCACACTGAGTGCATGTGAACTGTTTTTCTCCAGTGTGAATCCTCGTGTGTCTGTTAAGCTCTGATTTAGTCGTGTAACTCTTTCCACACTGGGGGCATGTGAATGGTTTCTCTCCATTGTGAGCTCTCGTGTGCACAATTAAGTCCTCTTTGCGAATGAAACTCCTTCCACACTGAGTGCATGTATAAGGCTTCTCTCCAGTGTGAATCATCATGTGTGTCTTAAGGTGTGCTTCATGTCTGTAACTCTTTCCACACTGAGTGCAGGTGAATGGTTTTTCTCCAGTGTGAATTCTCAAGTGTCTGTTAAGGTGTGACTTAAATATGAAACTCTTTCCACACTGAGAGCATGCATAAGGCCTGTCTCCAGTGTGAATCCTCGTGTGCAAATTAAGCTTTGATTTATGTGTGAAACTCTTTCCACACTGAGTGCATGAGAACGGTTTTTCTCCAGTGTGAATTCTCACGTGTCTCTGAAAGGTTGATTTACGTATGAAACTCTTTCCACACTCAGAGCAGCTGAAAGATCCAGATTTTCCACTTTGTTTTTGGGTGAAATTCTCTTCAGTCTTTGAAACGACTGCATTCTCATCTTCATTTTTGAAATGAGGTTTTTGAAACAGATGATACTTGTCTTCATTTTTACATGTCAGTTCTCCATATTCATATGTTAAATGATGAGGTTTGTTTTCATTCACTTCCATCGGGTCTAAAATAAACATATTAAATTAAATTGAGAAAAGCACATTTGAGAAACAAAGAATTAAAGTTAATTCTCAATCAAACACAAATCTAGTTTACTATACCGAGTCTGTTAGTATCTAGTTTTGGATATATTTTATATGTCAGTTTTCAACTTTATGTTCCTCATCAGTAAATAAACAGTATAAAGGAAAACACCAACCTATTTGTTCCTCTGTATCTTCATCTTTTATTCTGCAGGGTTCTTCCTTAATCTCCATCTTTACAATAGTATGTCCGTAGTTTCTCCTGGAGTAATTCCTCCTGCTTGCTTCTTCTTCTCCTGTGGGAAGATGGGAATGTTCCCCAGCATTTAAACTCTCATGAAACACTGTGGGAGCTTCACTGACTAAATGAGCAACAACGACCACAATTCACTCCTTCAGTCAAGTCACCTTCATCTATATAGCGCTTTTAAAAAGGAGCTTTACTGTGATAATAGGAAATTAAAGTAAGAGATTGTTTTGGCTTTACAGCAGCTCTAGAATCAAGTTATTGTCCAGCTAAAGTTAGTTTTGATTGATTCACTTCTGACGCAACCATCATTAGTTATTAACTTAGGGGCTGATAACAAGACACCATTCTAACAGAAAACCCCTGATGCTATCCGGCCACTCATTAGCACAAAACAGTGTCTGGTGGCTCGAGAACACAAACCATTAAATGGGTTCCAAGGTGCAAGTGTTGAAAATTTTATAATACAGAATTTTTTTTTAAATCGCTTCCACGTAGCCACTTGAACCGGAATTATCCAGAATTATTCAATGTTTTATCTTTGCAGAGGTTAAGGGAAGGAGGCCTTCACAGGGGAGGGACTAGTGACACTTTTCACACACAGGACTGCGTTGTCGTCGTGTCCAGGCGCACTTGGAACCGGCAGACTGCGTTAAACCTTGGGATAAACAGAGAGACTAATATTGGCGTAGACGCCATCCTTCTTATGATGTAACGAGTACATCAGGATTTATGGGAAGTGTTCCCAGTTCCGGTTGATCTAATCTATGCAGCCTAATATTGAATTATAGAAGTCTATAATGTGTTATGTGAATGCTACATCAAAGAGATGTGTTTTTCGTCTAGCTTTGAACTGACAGACTGTGTCTGCTTCCTGGACAATGGTAGGAAGACTGTTCCAAAGTTTTGGTGCTAAATGGGAAAAGGAATTGCAATAAACGTGGAGGACTAATGCGTTAAAGGAGTAGTTCACTTTAAAAAAAAAAACTTTCCTTTTAATTTACTCACCCAAGATGTTCATGTCTTTCTTTCTTCAGTCGAAAAGAAATTAAGGTTTTTGATGAAAACATTTCTGGATTTTTTTCTCAGTTTTTCTCATTTTCTCCATTCTGCACTTCACTGGTAACCAAACGGTTCAAGGTCCAAAAGACACTTTCAGTACAAACTGTTCAAAGGGCTTTAAACAATTCCAAACGATGAATAAGGGTCTTATCAAGCGAAACGATCACTCATTTAAAAAATAAAACGTTTAAGTTTAATAAGCTCAAATGGTCACCTTGCTCTGTTCTGTGATGTGCGTCATTTGTTTCAACGAACGAAATGAACGAATTGACTCGGAAAAAAAGATTTGTTTATTTTGATGAACGAGTTTGAACAGGAGAGTCACGAACGCGCATCACAAAACAGAGAGGAAGGCGACCATTTGAGCTTATAAAATCTAAACTTTGGTTGTTGTTGTTTTTTTTTTTTTTTTTTTTTTTTTAAGCGATCGTTTAGCTTAAAGAGCCCCTATCATGGATTTTTGAAAATGACTATTCATGTGGTGTGGAATATAGCTCTAAGGGAATGTAAACATCCTGCAAAGATTTATATCTGAAAGTGCACCGTATATAAAGTTATTGTCTTTCAAAAGTGAGAGTCGACTCTGAATCGATGAAATGAATTGTTTTTGAAACAAGTCATTAGCTGGTTCGTAGTGACATAGATACGAAACATAAGCATAAATGTCTTTTTTTTTTAAATATGTGAAATGTTTGTCGCTGTCATTGGAGTTGTCATAAAGAACAGAGCGTCTTGTAGTACCGCAGTGCTTTATCAATATGTTTATGCGTTATGCTAACAAACAATAACTGACTGGGTCATCTGACCAATCACCGCCGATTAGCGTCACGCAAAAGAGTGGTTTGGAAAAATCAGTCGTTTGTACGAATCATTTGGGAGTCGGGAGCATATCAGGTAAATAGAAATGCATATTATATGACAACAAAAGTGCTTTTTGTCATTGCATTCATGTAAAACTGTTGGGGACTCCCAGAACAATATTAGGAACATTTTAAATGCCATAATAGGAGCTCTTTAAAAAGACCCTTATTCATCGTCCGGAAAAAGCCTTTTGATCGTTTAAATCACGACAAAGAACAGTTTGCCATTTGCACTGAAACTGTCTTTTGGACCTTGAACCGTTTGGTTATCAGTAATGTGCATTATATGGAGAAAAACCCTCAAATGTTTCCATCAGAAACCTTAATTTCTTTTCGACTGAAGAAAGAAAGACATGGACATCTTGGATGACATGGGGGTGAGTAAATTATCAGCAAAAGTTTTTTTAAAAGTGAACTACTCCTTTAAGAGCTCACTCAAGTACTGCGGAGCTAAACCAGTACTTTGATTTAGCAAACGTTTAGCCAACAATTCATTTAACCTGGCTAACAAGGACGATTTGAGCAGGACTTTTCTCAGTAATACACTCAGTTTGAGGTACTTTATCTGGTTAGAACTGTAATTCCTTACCATCAGCCTTAACAAGTGTACAGTGTATCCGGAAACTATACAGTTCTTTACTTTTTCCACATTTTGTTATGTTACAACCTTATTCCAAAATGGATTAAATTCATTATTTTCCTCAAAATTCTACAAACAACACTTCAAAGTGACAAAGTGAAATTAGTTTGTTTGCAGACTGATCTCATGAAGTAGCGCGTGTATGACACGCCAATTCGTATTTCCATTTTTGGCGTGCTATTAAGATGCATAATCGCTTTTCAGCGTGTTTATGAACGTCGTTGACTTAACGTCATTACTGTACATATAAATATATGACTTACCTCAACCCCGTCCCTAAACCTTACCGTCACTGGGGTTAATGGCATTTATGACTATTCCCTTACCATCCTAGGAAAGAAAAAGATCCAAAGATGTAGATGTACATTTTGCTTTTGTTTAGCTTGGATATTTGACGGCGTTTACAGACACGCGGAATAACGCAGACGTTAATGGCGTAGACATACACGCGGATAGCTCAAAATGTGTCAAGATAACACGCCACTTGACTCGAAATTGGCGTATGTTTACACAAAAGTCATGATGTTTGAAATCTTAGCAAATGTATTTAACTAAAAAAAAACTAAAAAAATCAAATGTACATAAGTATATTCACAGTCTTTGCTCAGTACTTTGTTGGAGCACCTTTGGCACCAATTACAGCCTCAAGCCTTTTTAAGTATGATGCTAAAAGCTTGGCACACCTTTTTTGGGCAGTTTCTCACATTCTTATTTGCAGAACCTCTTAAGCTCTATCAGTTTGGATGGGGAGCATTGGTGCACAGCCATTTTCAGATCTCTTCAGAGATGGTCAATCGGGTTCAAGACTGGGCTTTGGCTGGACCACTCAAGGACATTCACAGAGTTGTCCCATAGCCATTCCTTTGTAATCTTAGGGTCGTTGTCCTGTCGGAAGATGAACCTTCGCCCGAGTCTGAGGTCCAGAGTGCTCTGGAGCAGGTTTTCATTGCGAATGTCTCTGTACATTACTGCATTAATATTTCCCTCGATCCTGACTAGTCTCCCAACCACTGAAAAACATCCTTACAGTTGATGCTGCCACCACCACTGGTATTGGGATAGTATTGGCCAGGTGATGATGAGCAGTGTCTGGTTTCCTCCAGACAAGATGTTTGCCACCCAAGCCAAGAGTTCAATCTTTGTTTCATCAGACGTAGCTGGAAGAAAACTAAATTAGAGGTATTGCGGATTTCATGGAAGGAGAGCTCGATTGCATACAGAGATGCTTTAAAAATGGCTAGATCTGCTTATTTTTCAATTCTATTAGAAGAAAATAAACCTAATCCGAGGTATCTATTTAAAACAGTGGCTAAACTAACGAAAAAGATTGAACGAAAATTTGTATTTTTGAAAATTGATTTGACATTTGTGAATCGACTGTGAATCTAAGAATAATTTTTTTTTCCCTCCAACCCAAATATCAATATGCGAGAGACTCCCAGAACGTCTGCTGATAGTGAGGGGATTAAAAGATGCCGAAGTCAAAACGCTTCAAGGTTTGGCTGCATTTCACGTGTAAAATGATTGTCTGCATCAGAACGATTGTCTGAAGCCCATATAGAATCACGATTCATTCCAATCCATTGGCTGATGGCGCGGGCATATTATATCAGCGCGTGCATCATCTGCTCCTCAGATTACTCTGCCGAAAAAGGAAGCTTGTCGGCAGAGCGAGGAGTTTGGCAGCGAACGCAACGTCACGTTTACTATCTAAGTTGATATTGTGTCCAGTTTGGCCCTGTAAATGAAAGGGGTATTATTTTTTGACAAATTGCGTGTGGTTCCGTTTTCTTAGGAACCGTTTAAAAAAAAATACAGAGTAGGTACTGGTATGGGATAAAACCCAACCGATACCCAACCCTAGTATTGACCCATCTTTCTAGAGCAAGCGTTCTGCGAATCCCACATTGAACTCCGAGATTTGAGAAGCAGTCGTCCGTAAAATTAAGGGAACACTGCAAAAGTTTGGGATTATACTGCTGTGGTATCATGGTAATTTTAACCACTGATTCTTCACAGCCTCATCCTTTGGAGGTGAAAATAAATGGAATTTCACAGCGGAGAGCACAGCGTGTCTTGACGACATGATATCCATACTAACGAGCTACAGCCAGGTTTCCTGTCCACGCAGAACGTATGCAAGCATTATGCAAATGCTCGTAACACAAGTTGTGACGTGTGAATATCACGAAAATAGATTTGAACTCCAAATGACTTGTTTGGACAGTTTAGAGTCGACTCTTTCCTTTGAGATTCAATAACTTTTATTTATGCTGCACTTTCAGATTCAAAACTTTGCAGACAGTTTATATTCACATACAGCTACATTACACATGAAAGGTAATTTTCAAAAATTCATAATATGGGCAATTTATTAAAACAGATTCCAAGCATGAAAATATGCTCATTTAGGCAGCATTAGGCAATGCTTTTTTTTATGATTCTTTATATTAGATGATTGGGTGAAAGTCTTCCCACAGTGTGAAC